TTTATCCAAAAGGATTTTTAAACTTTGGATAAAATTAGGAAACAGTTCCATAACTCTTTTTTAATGAGTGGCAATGAATCTGCTGGGTCATTAAACATAAGGAATTTTTGTTTTTTCCCTTATTCATCAGAAGGCATGGACACTTCTTTGAATTATCTGATAGTTACAAAGGTCATTCTTTGAATTTTAAACTTAACCCAGTACAGAGCACAAACTGTTTCAAATGTGCAAACACTATCAAGGTCAGCAGTTTAAACCCATTGCCCACTCCCTGAAGAACCTATACAGTGTCTGTACATTGACATGCAATCCATAGTGAAGGCTGTGATCCTTGATCTTCATCAGTAAGTATTTTAGTCTTCTTCACTTTCAGCAAGCAAGGTTGTATCATATGCGTATTGCAGGTTGTTAATAAGTCTTCCTCCAATCCTGAGGCCACATTTTTCTTCATAGAACCCAGCTTCTCATATTATTCGCTCAGCATACAGGTTGAATAAGTATGGTGAAAGAATACAAACATGTCGCAAACCTTTCCCAATTTTAAAACATTCAGTATTCCCATGCTCTGTTAGAACAATTGCCTCTTGGTCCATGTACCAATTCCTCATGAGCACTTAGTTAACGATACGAGGCTGTAAATCTTTACAGGAGCAGAAAGCCTCATCTTTCTCCCATGGAACAGCTGATAGTTTCAAACATCTGACCTTAACGTTAGTAGCCTGACTCGTAACCACTATGCTACCAGAAATCCTTCAAGTGTTTTTGTGTACAACACCCCCCCCCCCAAAAAAAAAGGAAACAAAACAAAACAAAAAACAGGGGGAATAGAAGCAAATACTTTTGAATAATGATACACTGAAGAGGTTTCAATCATTGCAATGAAATGATGATTATAAAACCAATGTTCTCTCATGTAAACTATCACTCAATTCACAATAAAACCTTTACAAAAAAAGGAAGTTTGAATTTTAGAAAGAAAACACTTATATATATATAAAGAATTGAAAAGTGCCATTTAAAATATGTACAGTACCAATAGCAATTATACTGGTTATTCAATACAAAGATTAGACAAAATTATTCCTTTTTATGGGCAAAAACCAAATAGAACTATATTATTTACGTTAGTGGTCAAACAAAAGCTATGTCCAAAAGAGAACAAATCAAGAATAAGTGAGATTTTTGGGTGGTGGGTGGGATTTCTGACTTAACAGTAAATGGAATTGACAACCCAGTCTATTGAATGTACAGTCTTAGTCAGTTGAGGAAGTGCAGTCTTAAAAATCTTCCTTTTTTGACATTATACCTAAAACACTTTACAAATGTGGTTTCATAGAAATCTTAGTATATTAGCAAGCACAGATCTATGAGGATTCGTTTATTTTTAAACCTGTGTAGGTCACCAAGTCTCACAGTGATTTCCATGAATTTTCAGACAAAATGTCCCAAACATCTCAGATAAATTTTCAACACAAGTAGTCGGCTATAGTTGGAAATATGGCACCTGTCCTTGGGAAACAAATTCTTTCTCTTAATAATATGAGATAGTCAATTCATTTGGTTTAATTCTAAGTGCAGCTTATCCCTGATTTATGATGGGACTCCATTCTGAGTGCTACTACTAAACAAATTCTGATAAAAGTTGAAATCTCTCTCTCTCTCTTTTAAACATTTTATTATCATTGCCTTTTTAAAATCAGTATTTTTATAAATCTGATATTTATTTTGGGGGGGTTAATACTGCATATTAACTTACAGATACATTTTAATTTATTATGCAGTACATATTATAAATAAAGAGTGGTAAAAAAAGACAACCATAAATGTAGTTGGTCATAATTGAAATATGAGGGAGATTTAAAAAGTTCATGAAAAATTTCCATTATCTTTTGATTTCATTTTTTCCTTGCACTTTTTAAAAGCACTCTGATATATTGTAAATCAGGGTCAATCTGTATGTGGTTAAGTCTTGTAGCATTTTACAGTAGTGTAGTGGTTCTGAATCAGACTGCTTATCTTAAGGTCAACAGTTTAATACTACCAGCTGGAGGAAGATGAAATTTTCTGCTCCTATAAAGATTCACAGCCTTGGGAACCCTGTATAGGTTCACTATGAGTCAGAACCAACTCTACGGCACATAACCACCACCACCATAAAGTCTTCAACCACTCATCTATGGGAAAAATATTGAATGATGCTGAAAATATCAAAATAAGATAGACGGTATACACAGAGGCAGTGTACTAAAAAGAAATAGGCGATGTTCAATAATTTCAAGAGGTAGTATGTGATCAAGAACTAATGCTACTGAAGGCAAAAATGCAAACTGTACTGAAGGCAAAAACGCAAGCTGTACTGAAGGCATTGGTGAAAAGCAAAGCTCCAGGAACTGGCAGAACACAAATTAAAATGTTTTCACAATCTATGCCAAATAATTTGTCTACCTTGCTATCCAAGTGGGTGAGCTCCATATTTGTTCCCATTCCATAGAGAGATGACTGAATGGAATGCATAAATCATCAAAAAACGTTTTGATGTCATATGTAGATAAAATTTTGCAGAAGATAATTCAAAAATGGCTACATCAGTACATCAAAAGAGAACTGCCAGAAATTTAAGCCAGATTCACAAGAGGACATGGGACTAGGGATATCTTTGCTGATATCAGATGGGTCTTGGCTGAAAGGAGACAATAGCAGAAATATGTTTACTTGTGCTTTATTGATTATGAAAAGCTATGTATAACATTGCAAAGAATGAGTATTCCAGAATATTTAATTGTGCTCATGAGGAACCTATACATAGACCAAGAAATAGTCATTTGAAGAGCAAAGGTGAATACTTAATGGATTAAAATCAGCAAAGGTGTGTGCTAGGGTTGTATTCAATCTGTATGCTGGGCAAATAATTTGGGAAACTGGATTACATGAAGAATATGGAATCAGAATTGGAGGGAGGCTCATTGACAGCCTGCTATGCGCAGATGATACAACTTTCCTTGTTTAAAAGGAAGACTTAAGGTACTGATTGATGAAGATCAAAGACCACAGTTTTCAGTATGGCTTGCACCTCAATGTAAAGAAAACAAAAATCTTCCCCAATAAATAACACCTCGACAAATGGAGAAAAGATTGAAGTTGTCAAACATTTCACTTTGCTTAGCTCCACCGTCAATGTTCATGCAGGCAGAAGCCAAGAAATCAAATAATGTATTGTATTATGAATATGTGCTGCACAAAATCTCTTTAAAGAGTTCAACAGCAAAGATATGAGTTTGAGGAATAAGGTGAATCTGACCCAAGCTATGTTATTTTCAATAGCCTCATATGCATGTAAAAGTTTGGCACTAATTAAGGAAGACCAAGAAAATTGAAAATTGGTGCATGTGAGTTGTGGTGTTGGAGAAGAATATTGAAGGTACCATGGGCTACCTCATACTTCAGAGATGTGATCAGAAGGAGTCAGTACCTGGAGAAGTTAATCATTTGGTCAAATGAAAGGTAAACAAAAAAGAGGAAGAGGACCCCTCCATCCCCTAGAGATGACACAATAACAGCAGCATTGGGCTGAAGCTTAACAAAGTTTGTGAGGATGGCACAAGAATGCGGCAGTGTTTTATTCTGTTGTGCATAGGGTCACTCTGAGTGACTAAATGGTATCTAACAACAATAACAACAACAATGAGTCATGGATTATTTTCCATAAGGTCAGCAATTCAAACACACCAGTCACTCCAGGGAAAACCTATACAGAATTGCTGAGTCAGAACTGACTC